GTTGGGTTAGCCTAGACAAATAAAGAAATCAGGCAAAAATGTAAATAAACATTATTATTCAAATAAAACGAACATTAAAATTCTTTAAACCAGTAGATGGGTCAATATTAGATGCATATATCTAGTAGATGGAGGAATATCATTAAAAAAATTTTTTTTTTGGGGGGGGGGGACTTATCAAATGATATTCTAAAGGTATATTTTGCATTTGTGCATTATTAATGGCTGATATATCAATATTTGAACAATTATAAAGAGGAAATAAGATGGGGATAGTTTTATAAAGTAAAAATAAAATAATTCTAAAGTTAAATTTATAAGGTAGGAATAAAATAAAATACCATTAGGAGAGATCAATTGGCAAATTTTTTTAAAAAAATATGATCCTTGTGAATAAGTATAGAATAATTTAAATAATATATAAATACCGTAATATGTATTTTTTTTTGGAATAAATATAAACATAAAAATAGAAAACCTCGTTTAGTATTTTTTTATTGAAAGAATAAAAAGGAGTATTGTCAAAAAAGGTAGGAAACTTAAGAATAAATATATAATTTTAATTGAATAAGAATAAATATTGTAATATATAATTATTTTTATGGGAATATCTTTTACAAATTATTAAGGGTTGAGCTGGGCTCCTTCATGTGATGATAAATTAATTAAAAATTTAACTATCTCCTGGGTGGGCAAAAATTTTCAAAATTATATTGGATAGGACTGGGCATGGAACAAAATTAATATTAGCTTGCACCTTACAAGGGAATATCTTTTACAAATTATTAAGGGTTGAGCTGGGCTTGATAAACTTTTTTATAATTATATGCTTCCTAATATTGTGAGCTTGGACTTGGCATGACACTATTGTAAAAAATGAATAAAAACCTCAATCCCCGTCATTTTTGATGGGCTTTCTTAATAATTTGTATAATTATTCCTCATTATTTTTTAAAAAAATTAGCTTAAATTTATATGTCAATAAAAAATATATATATATAATTTGCATATAAGTTTCATTAGTGATTAATGGCATTTTTGTTATTTAAATAGATAGCATTTTTTTTTACTTAACAAAAATATAGACAAATAATTTGAGAAATGCAAGACATACATTAAATTTATCCGAAAAGCTACAATAACCCTATATAATAAACAAAAATTTATTTTTTATATATAATTATAATTGATCATATTACCAAAAAGTATAAGAGTCGGTTATTTTTATTTTATTTGTAATGATTCTCTAATAACTGATTTGCCCAGGCCTTCCCAGTTTCCCTTATTACGGAATTCACATGTTTTTTTACATCTTAAACTAATTGGTAAATCAGATAATTCCCCTTCATGTGATGATAAATCAATTAAAAATTTAACTATCACCGAGGTGGGAAAAAAATTTCAAAATTATATTGGATACGACTGGGCTTGAAACCTCAAAATTTATATTAGCTTGCACCTGACATGGGAATATCTTTAACAAATTATTAAGGGTTGAGCAGGGCTGGATAAACTTTTTAATAATTATATGCTTCCTAATATTGTGAGCTTGGACCTGGCATGACACTATCGTAAAAAATGAATAAAAATCTCATTCCCCGTTATTTTTGATGGGCTTTCTTAATAATTTGTAATATTTAGTAAATAATGTATTACTTTCCTATGTATAGACATTGGTATAAAAGAGAATCATGACAAAATAAGGTCTGCCCTAATATTATTTATGTTTTTTTATACATTTTAAACTAATTGATAAATCAGATATTTACCCTTCATGTGATGATAAATTAATTAAAAATTTAACTATCTCCGAGGTGGGAAAAAATTTTCAAAATTATATTGGATACAACTGGGCTTGGAATCTCAAAATTAATAATAGCTTGCACCTGACATGGGAATATCTTTTACAAATTATTAAGGGTTGAGCTGGGCTTGATAAACCTTTTTATAATTATATGATTCCTAATATTGTGAGCTTGGACCTGGCTAACACTATCGTAAAAAATGAATAAAAATCTCATTCCCCATCATTTTTGATGGGTTATCTTAATAATTTGTAATATTTAGTAAATAATGTATTACTTTCCTATGTATAAACATTGGTATAAACTCAAGACTTGATCAATGGACATGGGAATATCTTTTACAAATTATTAAGGGTTGCTGGGCTTGATAAATTTTTTTATAATTATATGCTTCCCTAATTATATGCTTCCTAATATAGTGCCTCCTACAGTTGCATTAATTTTGAAAAAAATTTCCCAAGCCTAGAGATATAAAATATTAATAATTTGTAATATTAAGTAAATAATGTATTACTTTTTGGTTTTAATATGGCCTCCTACAGTTGCATAGAAAATATGAGTTATAGGATCATCTGTTTGTATAAAATAAATAAATAAAATCAACAAATAAAAAAATACGTACCGATGACATGACGTAACGATGACATGACGTAGCGATGACATGACGTAGCGATGACATGACGTCACGATGACGTAGTGAGGACATCGGAAAATTATAATATAGATATTTATAGTTAAAAATTCTAATTTTAAAAATTACTATATTTAATTTTAAAAATTATTAACTTTTGCTTATTTTTCTTTTAAATTATCGTTTAAAATGTAATATAATATATTTTCGGGAAGAGAGGGGAGATTTTTATTAGTTTAAAATGATGTTTACAAGAACAGGCAAATTTTTAAGGTGGGATTTCCTCTTATTCCCCTTCCCTGGCTACTCTAATGAGTAAATTGGTCTATGAGCTGTGTCCTTCATCTTCTTCAGTCTACGAAAACATCTCACATTTAAATTTTTTTGTTCATGCTATTTTAGATGAAGATAGTAATAATAATGATATAATTATAGATAATAATTTGTTGAGTTCATTAATATCAGATAAATATTACATAGAGTTTTCTCTTATAAACCCCCTTTTATCCCATATATTCCCCCCGATAAGGAGGTTTTTAGGGGAAAAATATGTTATTTGTTAGCTAGTTGAAAACTTTTAAGAGATTTCTTCTCTTAATTAAAATAATATATGTTTAATAGTTGATCATGAAAATCTTTGATTTTGTGTTGATTTTTATATTTCAAATTTTGATAAGATTAAGAAAAAAAAATTTATACAATTTATAAATTAATTATTTAAATAACGACACTACACTACTTTTAAAAATTAGAAGCTATAGCGCGTTGTTATTTTTTTCGAGAAAGTAGCTTTAATGTAGCGAGGATAGTATTTGGGGAAAGTAGTTATAGCTATAGTACGCTACTCTTTAAGATTAGGTAGAGTTAAAAATACTGATTATGACAATATGTGAACTCCTAACAATAAAGTACTACTTTGACAATGACAATTATCGGTAAAGTTAATATTAAAGACTCAATAGGTTCTGGAAGATACGAGAATAAAGAATATTATGCCACTTCAAAAATATAACGAGGAAGAATATAAGACCACCTTCAAAATACGACAAGTACAAATATGAAATTACCTCAAAGATATTAGAGATGTAATGTTTTACGGAAAGTGTTCATGTTTAGAAATAATTATTATATACCTTTTACAATATAATTGAGAGATTTTCTGTAATGTTTGGATTTATATATTAAGAAATATGTAACTGAGTTTATAAATAATTAAATAAGGAAACTGACATATTAAAAAATATTCCTATATTCATTTCAACTCTTTTTGACCAATATATAATATATTATTATTAATCAAATCATCAACCAATTATCGTTAATACAATCAATGTTTATTATAAACTGTAATATATGTACACTTGTAATTGTATTATTGTTTCATAAAGTTACATTCGGGATCAATAATTATACTAAAAATTCTTATATATTTTATGTCAAATAAATGAATTTAAATATATCAATATATATCTAAGAAGATGTATTAAATTATTTGAACATTAGTGAAATGATTAAATTTTTATTGTAAAACATATATTAATAAAATAACATTTTGTTTCGAATAGTTATCATTTTTTAAAATCAATGAATTAACATCCCTTTTAAAATAATAAATTATAAAGATTTGGTCATTTCATGCACACATAATAAAACGATTTAAGTTAAATTAATGTTAGAAAATAATTGAACTCTATTAAATTAATAAGAAAAAAATAACTACCAATACATTAACAAAAAAAAACCATTTCTTTTAAACGAAATAAAATATAAATTTTGTGTAAAATAATTATGGGAAATATCCATTTGCTGAACCACAAAAAACTTTATTAAAATGCAATTACACCCACTTATTTTTATAAATATATATTAACAGAATCCCAAAATCAAATCCGATCTACTATATATAGTCCTCTCAAAGACAGAATCACCTAGTTGGCTTTAGAAAAAAACATGGCCCTTCCAGGATCTGAACTATCGAATTGTGATACAAGCACTGAACCGACTAGCTCATAGACCCTTCTCAGAAATATCAATTTGTATATAAGGATAAAATTACATTGCTATCTAATATTTAAAATAAACACTTAAAAAATCAATAACGTTCAATTCTATACGTCATTACCCCAAAAAAGTAATATAGAAAAATAAGCCATTAGGGAAAAATAAAAAAATATAATAATCAACATAAATACAATTATATATCTAAAAACGCTTAGGTCCTACTCAAAATAATATTTAAAATAACACTATAAACTTATGACGGAATAATATGTTTATTATATCTTATAGATCCTACATATTGTATATAAACATAAGATTTTTTTAGAAAGCTAATTAATAAACAAAAGTTTTCCCATAAAAATATGGAATTTAAATTATCAATTTTACGTGATAATAACCCAATTCAAAGAATATTCAACTCAGAAAAACTTTTCAATTGGAAGAATGAGTGGGATCAAAGGTAAAAATATGGGATCGGGTGGGATATGGATTAGGGGTAAGGGATATTAAAGAGGCATTTTTGTCTATAATATCAAATCTGACAGGTCATGTGATTAAAATAATTTCCTTGAATTAACCTGGGCTTTCACAGCTATCCTATAATGTCTACATTGATAAAATGTAAAGTTCATTCTGTAGTTTTATTTTCAATAATTAATGCATATGAACGTCGAAATGAAGAAGATCAAGATTTAATAGGGATTTTATTAGGCAAATATAAATTAATTAATATTTATTACTTCTCTTTTAAGGTTCACCAGATAAAGATGTTGTAGAGATTACCAATTGTTTTCCTATTACTCTTATAAAGAAAAAGGATGAGGTCATAAATATTTTGTAAATAATTCCTAATTAATATATTTAGATATTTATGGACTCTGAGCTTGCCAGTAGTATGTATGAGATTAATAAAAAAGGAAACGCAAATGAAATTATAGTTGGATGGTAAGTTAATAATTTATTATTATAATTTAGAAAAATAAAAATATTTAATGTATAAATATTTATTTTAAATTTAAGGTTTACTACTGATTCCAATATAAATAGTGCTACTTTTGAAATTCATGCTCAATATTCTAAATTAAGCAATAATCCCATATTACTAACCTTAGACACCTCATTAAAAAATAATAGAATGGATTGTAAAGCCTACATCAAGTAAATGGATTTTTATATATTTATAAAAAATGAAAAAAATTTATTCCTTATATCAAAAATATACAATTAATACAATATTTATTATATTTAAATTAACCACTAAAGCTCATAATTTACTTTAATAATATACTTACAAAGTATCTATAAATAATTAATCTATACAAGGTATAATCAGAGTTGAGCAGATCTTCCGGAAAAAGAATCTAGATACAGATTCAATGTTAAAAAAATGAATCTTAGATATAGATACTAGTATCTTTTTCAAAATATCAAAAAGATACAAGATAAAACATACTTCCTAATTAGAGTATCTAAAATATAAGATATTTTTAAATTATCATTATCAATTAATAGTTTATAAATTACAGTTTTTTATTTATTTGTGAAGAACATAACATACACATATAATATGAATGAATATTTACAATAATTAATAAATATTTAATGATGAGTTAATTATAATAATCAGGCATTTTAATATTAGTAATAAATAGCCCATTCTTAGCATAGATATGGAAGAGATACTAGTATTTTTAATGGTAGTTAATATATTAATGTGCAAAAGTGTATTTAAAATAGTTCATTATTTTATAAGATAATCAAATTTTTCAAATAATTTATCATTACATTGCCTTTTTGGCCTACTTAACATTCTGCCAAAACTAAATTATCTTTCAACTGGAGCTGAATTATAAATTTCCTTAATGAAAGGATAATTTAAGCATTTATAATGTATTTCGACTTTCTTTAATATAAGTTAAAACCTCCAGTTCAATGTTATTTGTATTATTGAATTCAGAAAAATTTGTTTCACTAAGAGTAAAATAATCATCATTTTCTTTATTAGATAAAATCTATCTGTGTTTTAGTTTGAACTTGTATATACTCTGGTTCTACATTTAGGGCTTCTTTTATTAATATATTTTGAAAGTATTTGCTTTTATCATCTGACTCAATCCATTAAAATATGGATGTTATATTGATGTCAAAAAAGCCTTATTATATTCAAATCATAGGAAAATATTTTCTTAAAATCTATTGCCCATGCCACCTTAGGCAGCTTTTAATAAAGGTAGCAATATTGTAAACTTGTTAACAAAATTGTTTAACCATTTATAATTTTTTTGTTTATACAGGTTTTTTACATCTAGCATGTACATTATATTTTTTAACTTTTATTTTAAAAAATTTCCATATAAAATATTAAGATTTGGATTTGATTCACAGGAACTTATTTCAATAATTTAAATTTCACTACCATATGAGTGTTAATCATCCTACAGATTAAAAAAATATTACATAAAATTGGTAATGATATTCTATCGAGTTACATTTATATATAAAATATAATTATACCTAAAACAAATTATTTGTATTCGATATTCGATTCAATTTGTATTTTACGAATATGAATAACAATTATTTTATTTGAAAATACGAATAACAGAATAATTCTATTCAATAATACGAATAGAATTAGAATAAGGAAAATATATTATTCGTCGAATAATTTTTTTTCTACGTTTCGAGATTATTTGACTAAAATAATTTATAGTATTATATTAATAAATGTTGAAAAATAATTATTATATATATATATTAGATAATTAGAAATTAATTGAAATTATTCTTATTTAATAAAATTTCCTAGTGGAATATTGAAGAAGCATTTTATATTTTAAAAATTTTAAATAACTTCATAATCCAAAACAACTTCAGAATATTTTTTTTTTGGACGAAGATATTTATTTTATGGAATTTATAACACATACACAATTGTAATAAACTAGTAGCTATCCCATCAAGAATGATGGACGTTGCAGATATTTCTCCTTTGTTTGATGATGGAGAAATCATAAATTTTATTTTTGCCTAAATTTTTACCACTTTATTTGTAAAATATTGCTAGATATGAGTTTTGTATTTTTAGATTGCATAACTTTTTGACAATATTATTCCCTACAATTATTTGTTTTCATATACAAGATACTAATAATCTATTAACCTTTTTAAAATAATGTTGGAGGTAATTTATAAATTTTATGAATAGTGTTTTGGATTAAAACCTATAAATCCATATCATTTTTGTAAAAAATTATTTATAAGTAAATCTGTATAAAATTTAATATAAGTACATGTAATAGTATTTTTTAAACTTATATCAAAATTCACTAAATTATGTATTATCATTTTGTGATAAATTTTTTAAAAGCTATCATCTCATCTACATTTGGTGATAGTATAAACTCTGAAGTATAGTTAAATAATATTTTATAATATTATTTTTATTTATATACAACAAAACAATCAAGCTTAAATTTATTTTATTATACATAACATTCTGATATTATTCTCATATACAAGATACTAATAATCTATTAACCTTTTTAAAATAATGTTGTTTATACATTTTATGAACAGTGTTTTGGATTAAAACCTATAAATCCAAATCATTTTTGTAAAAAATATTTTATAAATAAATCTCTATAAAATTTAATATAAGTACATGTAATAGTATTTTTTAAACTTATATCAAAATTCATTAAAATATGTATTATCATTTTGTGATAAATTTTTTAAAAGCTATCATCTCATTTACATTTGGTGATAGTATAAACTCTGAAGTATAGTTAAATAATATTTTATAATATTATTTTTATTTATATACAACAAAACAATCAAGCTTAAATTTATTTTATTATACATAAAATTCTGATATTATTAGTGCAGTAAACATAAAAAAATTGAACGCGTTCAACGTTCATTGACAAAAATCGAACGCGTTCACGTTCAAGTTCATTTTCAAAATAAAGGAATGCGTTCACGTTCATTCTGGGTCATTCCACGTCAAATCGACCAAAAAAACGCGATTTTCGGACGACCATCTTTAAAATAAACGAAACTTGGCATGATAGTTATTTATTTTGTATATTTTTGTAAATTCTAAATTTTAGAGTGCTAGCTCAACCAAATCCAAAGATATACGCCTTCAAAGTAGAGAATCGCATAATGCGTGATTTCTTAAATCTTGTTTTTCTTAAAAAATAGTTAAGATAAAATTACAAATAATATATCATTTTATAGCCCTTAAAATTTTACATTGGAAAATATTAAAAAAAAATTAAAAAATTTTAAGTGTTTTTGTATTTCCGGTAAAAATAAAAATTAAACATTCCTGGGAAGGGATATTTTTTTGGTGTTGATACTCTCTAAAAATGTTTATTACCTTTATATTAAACTATTTAATGAAAAATCTCGATAGCCATTTTTGTTTTTTTAAATTTATTAAAATTTTTATTATTTTTATAAATAAAAAAGGATAATATAGATGGCGTTATATTAATTTTAATAATAATATAAGGAATGACGTAACATAGGTGGATTTTTTTCTAAAATAAAATTAAAAATTCTTGAGAAGATTTTGTTATTGTTTCCAGATTACTTCTATCAACAGACACCCACTGTTTAAAGGATATATGATCTATGTCATTTTGGGCAAATACAACATCTAATTGTTTTTTAATTGAGAATGTGCCTGGACAATAGTTACAATCTCCTAAATAACAAATAGGGAGTGCGATTGCATATTGTTTGAGCTAAAATATTTTTATAGTTATGTAATGGATATTATGGCATAGCTAATAGTTTTGCCAAATTAGCATCTACAAACATAAGCTTAAAATTTTGATTAATTACACAAACACACACACTGTGTGTTCCGCTGGCTCCAGCCAGAATACGATTTTTTGGCCGTAAATCTGCAAATTTAGAAAATCCAACTTTAATTATCGGGTACCTCTCTTTAAATCGTTCATATAATTCTTTTAAATTGTTTAAAATTAATCTTTTTTGAGACTGCTCTCTTTTCCCCTTGATTATTATGGATTTATAGTCTTTTTTCCAGGGCATCACGTGACTGACTTCATCAGAAGAGTAAAATTTTTCTATAATATTCATGGTTTCCTGATCAATTGTTCGCCCAGGTTTTATATTGGGAGATGACATAAATCCTTTTAATTCTATTAGTTTTTTTGATTTTCTTACCAAGTAATTCGTGGCTTTGAACTCCATCTCAATTTTTTTAAAGGTCCAAGAAGGGGGCAATATAGTAAGAAGTTGATATTTTTTTTCCTTAGAAATAATTGGATAATGATGTTTTAAATTTTGAAGAAGTTCGTCATTTTTATTATTTTGTATATCAAACTCAGGAAGGCTGCTTCTTAATATGTTTTGACTTAATGCTTTTGTTATTTTTTTAAGTTTTTCTTGCGGATATTTCTTTTCTCCTATTCTTTTCTTTTTTTATTGGGGATTGGCCTATTTCTTCTAGCGATACATTTATTATATACAAAGTTGAACTGGATGTGGCTAGTTCGGGCTCTTCATTTTCAGATATATCCTCAATGGATTCCATATTTATCAAATATAAGCGACATGAGTGACATAATGATTGGCATATTGTTAATAAACCTTTGGATTTTTTAATCATCTTTGGTGTAACCTAATTTTATATTTAATAAAAATAATCACGATATCAATCCAGAATCTAAAATTAAAAAGGTTTTAATCCATAATATAAATAAACTTACCTTTTGTAGATTTTTTGAAATAGACTTATGGCCTTCTCTAATGAATGGATTACTACACAGTGATTTCATATTATTACAATTTTTTAAATTAAAAAAAAAATTTTAAGTAAAAAAAGATAATCCTTATGTTCTTTTCAATCATGATTGATAATTAAATTTCCTATTTATCGATATAAAGATTTAATAGAAAGAAAGGAATGAAAAATAAAATAAGATGATAAAATCTTTAATTTCAAATAATAACGATAGATCCATAAGTGTGAAATATATACAAATTACGGCCTCAAGAATTTCTATTTAAGCGCAAAATGGATTGCGATAAATAGATATATTTTTATAATAGCTTGAATATAATTTAAAAGTATCTTTATATGGGCCGCTTCCTCATTTATTGGCCCAGGACATCATACT